AAGAGATGGACAGATGGTCATATATCTCCTGCTGTCATATCATCTTCAGTTTACAGTGAAACATCATTTTGTCAGTGAAGAGTCAAGTGTAAGAGTCAAAAACAGAGGGCAGAAACAGAAAAATGCAGCATGGAAGAATTAAATCCACTATACAGTGCATCCAAAATACATCCAGTTGAGTCAAGACAAAACAGTATTTCTCTTACATAAAGTGACTTGGGATTTTTACTCTCCACAAATGGGAAGAAACATGATGTACTTCTGCCAAATGCAAATCCTCTAACACCTCAGTGTTATTCTGCTACCACCCTGGTTTGTTCAGAGTTGATTCAGAGAAACGTATGTCAAATGTTGAAACAGTTTGTGTTTCTTGGAGGTACCTGCTGATTTAAATACACTCTGCTTAGCTTGGAGGACTAGGCAGCTGAATACTGTGGATCAAATTTTATACAGACTAAACCAAGGGACCCACAGAGAAAAGAAAGGCATTGCTTTTAGAATTGTAAGGTCAGTCAGGTCTTTTCAGTGTATTCATAGCCTTCTGCATTCAACACCAAGGAACTATGCACTTTCTAGAAGGAGCTCATTTCCTACATCTGCAACAGGAATTGAGGGCACCCAAACACTACAGAGCACTCAGAACCTTGTAGAAGAGGTACTGACAATACTTGCATCCATTTTCTGCTTTGACATAAGCATTGCTAATATCTCTCTGCAATATCTGCATATCACTCAGCCATTTCCAAGAAAGTCAGGCGTAACTGATGAAATTAACTCACAAAGCTTACCTCATACAACTGTCTTCTCCTTAAGAAGTCCTCCAGGCATCATCTTTGATTCATGCTAATGAAATGCTCTAAAGAATTGTACTTCAGTGTCTGCATATATCCTGTAACACTGACTTGAAGTTTTGTAGTAATAGCCCTACAGAGTGTTTCTAGTGTAATCACAGAAAAAATAGGAAGACAACCATATTACTCTAAATCCTTGCCAACGGATGCTGTGGATGTCCTGGTTTGAGCCAGGATGAAGCCAATTTTTCTTTTTACTGATTTTTTTTTCCTTCAGTGAGCTTTCTTGTAGCTAGCAACAGTGTGTTCTGCTAGGCTGATAAGACAGTGGAATGTTTTTCTAACTACTGAGGCTTCAAGGTCGCACCTTCACTCTGCCGGCTCAGACACTATGGGGAGATCTGTGACCCCCCGGAAGGAGGCTGAGTTAGACAGACAGCAAAATTGGCCAAAGATATTCCATTCCATATATCTATGTAAGCTCAAAGGAAGGTCAGAGATCACAGAAGACAACTTCCTTCCTTCTTCTTCTCCCCTTCTCTTCCGTCCATGGC